AACACAGGGCCAAGATGTCAAGAAAGACTTTGCAAATGTTAACCATGTTAAAATCTAATAAGGAACTGGTGTAATTTTTTTTCAATAAATTGATACATGATTAAATCATGAATCTTAAAAAAATACAAGTCAATGACTTGAGACTTGACTTGACTTGACTTGGGTAGATCGCAGATTTGACTTGACTTGACTTGAGATATTGGACTTCAAAGCAATGACTTGACTTGACTTGACTGTAACCCTTTTTATTTTTATCAATGACTTGACTTGACTTGACTTGATTCTCTTCCAGAAATGACTTGACTTGACTTGTGTGAAAAAATAGCTGACTTGCCCATCTTTGGTCATATCTATCCCATATTACTAATGTTTAGTGATAGTCAGCAAATGTCCAGCTGCCACAATTCTGAGTATTATTTCTTCTAGGAAAACTTTTGTTATTTCTATTTTGTGAATTAGTGCTACTCTTCGATTGGATTCACAAGCAAACAGAAATACAAACAGTGCTTTGTGGATTAATGTCTTTTTCTGAAAAAAACGAATGAGCGAACAATTGTTACCTTCACATATTGCTTTCGGAATGATATTGACTGTGTACTCTCGCGTCTCGCGATAATCGGTGTTGTCACAATTTTTCTGATAATCTTCGCTTGGCTTCAAACTAAGGCGCATGCGGTGTTGCCCAGCTTTTGTACTGACGTCATCGATCCGAGGCATGCAGATTTCCAAATCATATGTACCTCGTTCCCCTTGACCACGAATTGGCGACTGATGATGAGCTCGGTTCTCTACCTCGTCGAATTTTCCATCATCATTGAGGTCAATCCATACATTCATGTTATACGTAAGGCTGCAACTGTCATCAAGTAAATCATCACTGGAATTTTGAGCACAATCCAATTGAATACGCATCTTATTTACGCTATTTTCGTATAATGTAACTGTGATATGATCTCTAATTTCGTAGTTGCTGATCGCAACATCCGTTGGTGTTTCATCTCGAATCTCTGTGCTTTGTTGACCGGCCATTTGAACAAACATAATTCTGGCAGGGGTTAGAGAACACATTGGGTTGCTTGCTACTAGAGACGCAATTACGATAGACATTGCAAACAATGAATATTCACAAAAATAAATGTCAAGTGTGAAACGAGATTAAGGAACAACACAAACATCTCCTACTGCATACAGAGATCCTAACTGACCAAATCATAGAATTAGAAGCGGGATAGATCCACTTCCGAGTACAGATTAACATATTCGTCTTTAGCCTATTTTTGCATTCTTATTCTTGTTTTTATGACCAGCTTGAAAGCCAAGCATTCGATTGTTATACGTGCATTCCTGTTGTGATTAACATTAGACCCTATAATGTGGACGAAGTGGAGCCCATGACAAATTATAGTGTAATATCGACTGAAGTATAGAACATATGATCGAATTCTTTTGCTTTAAGGTTTTCTCTATTTTCTGACCTATACTATTCTATTTTAGTTTCGATATGGACTTTCTTGAGTAGAAACTGGACTTGTCTAGCTTGGAATTGAAGAGAAAACTTTCTGTATACACTGGAAAAATAAATAATCTGCATTCTTGTCCTGGTGCATAAGCTGCCAGTTCATTTCTTGTTCTACGCTGTTTCTGTGCCTATCAGTCTTCGTACCATTGTTCTTTTGGCAGTTATAATCATGTTTGTTTATGTATTTTAATCGGAAGTCGAAAAGTGATCGGATCTTTTCTACGACAAAATGCAATGTAATTCAGTTGAAGGAAAAGGCTAGAATGTAATCAACTGGCAAATTAAGTAGCAGTTCTGGTCAACTGACCTTTGACACGGGATAGAGAGCGATTTGATTCCATTGTCTACAGAGGAAATTTTCGTGCCATGGGATTCATTATAGTGAAGACGGTGATGATTTTTTGGAATTTTTTCAATAAAAATTTCATTGCGAGAGAACCGCTAAATAAATTAACAATCTGAAGAACAATAGGCAATATTGTTCAATTTCATTTTCGATATTCATCAAAACTGTACTATAGTCAAAACTCATTTTTTTCATATTGTTTCTACTGTTGGTAGACCATTGCGATTGATTCTAATCTTTTTCAATATATTGTTGTCAAAAGAATGCAGTTTTACAATCTTTTTTTCTGTCGTATTTGTCTATCTCGTTCAAACTGAAGCACAAGTCTTATGTTCTCACCATAGTTTTACACTATATCACGGTATAAAAATACTATAAAATATGTTGATGAGATCCTACATTCTATACGGCACTTTTCTTCGATACATTCTTAGTATCACAAGATTGCAAACACATATTGAATATTCTAATCAAACCATCCCAATATTGTGAATAGTTTTTAATGACATAATGACATAAGAATTCTAAAAATTTTGTAAAGATCTACAGACTTTACGATTTCGTTTAAATGTGAGCACAAATGTGTTTGAAAACTTAGGAATGAAACGATAGTATCTTACTGACTGTCAAGGTTATTGTCCAAATTTTTTTCACTTTGATTGGCTCTTCGATTTCTTCTGTTTCTAAGGTGCCAGTGATGCAAAATTTGAGCACTCTTTATTTTTAACTCAAATACGCATCACTAGATTTAGTTTTTTTCTGCTGATCACGAATATATCCTTATTTTTTGTTTTAGCAAAATTTTCATGCAGAAAAATGCAAAATACTGAGGAAATGTTAAAATTTGCAAAAAAGCCTTGTTCTGGAAAAAACAAGGCTCAGTTCATCACCATTCCATTTCTCGTTTTTCCTCGATATTGTTTTCAGATTTCTGATATAAATTGAGCTTAGAAATGTTGTCTAGAGCTTTATCACATATTACATGTCCATTCGGGAAATCCATACTACAAGGGGTCCCGCCAATGGGAGTACCCAATTTTGCAAACCTATCTAGTTTTTGTAGTAAATTCTAGATCCTTTATTCATATGGCGTTCGAACCGCCATCTGACGAGCAACAAAAATATGAATCGCGCTTTTTGTTTTTCTTCCCATTGTAGAGAAAATCCGTCGACAACAGCCCAAAATAGCAATACTTGAAAATTGGGCTATGTATTTTCGAAAAAAAAACACATTTTTCAGTCAAAACTTTTAGAAATACGTTAGAATAGGTTAAAAACGATGGAGATTTTAATAGAGATGGTTTCGCGGTGAACTTAATATCTCTAAGAGAAGGCTAGAAAGCTGGTATGGGTGATAAGCCTTTAAGTAGTGAGAGTCAGCTACGATTTTCATATTTTCTGCTGGCTTATTTATTTGCGAGAATAATAAATAGTTAATGAACGATAAAAGCCTGAGAAATATAACAACTCAGCCTAAAAGTAACACAAAAAAGAGATAAAAATTAAAAATTCAATATATCAGTGAATACTATTGGTATTGGTAATTTTTCGATGGCTTATAATATTATATTCGCATAATCCGCTAAAAAACATTGCTAAAACCTCACTGTAATGTTTTCCGTCACCATAAGCTTTTGCGGTTTTCCAAAACCGGCGGAAAAGTTTTAAATGAATTTGTTTTTCGCTAAAGTTTGCTTTTGCTTTTGCTTTTGCCATTAAACTAATTAATTTATTAAAACTTTGATCGGTATTTTTCCTGATATACCGCTTTGAATGGCATCAATAACCCTCTATGGGATTTGTCTCACAGTGGAATTTTGGTGTAAAACTAATTGTCACATTATATGCAGCAGCTAATTTCTCAAGTTTGCTAACCTATAAATGGAAAATGAGATACAAATGCCAGCGATTTTTTGTCCGGAATGATGAAAACGAAAACTCTATTCACCTTTTTGAAGGCTACATGCTCAGCCAATAAAGATCTCAATTGCTGAAGACTGTATTTATTTGGAACAACAACATTCAGTTCATTTGCTAAAGCATGTAAACCTTTGCTTTTCCCATTATCATCATAACAATTAATTATCTGTTTTCTATTTTGCTCATTAATAAACTCAATCTTATCCACAGGATATTTGGTTCCAGGTTTCATTCCGAAATCGTAAATACTCAATTCAGCTGCTGTATGTGTTCTGGCATTATCAACCAAGCAGATAAAATCATGATTTTTGTATTCATTTTTAAAGGGCAATAATTGAAAAAGACGTTCAAATTGAGTGAGTACATTATGATTATCAAAATAGTTTTCTCCGCCAACGATGATGCTTCCTGAAGCACTGTTTTTCTTATATAACATATCACTATCATCATCCAAATGTGTATATTTCTTCAGTGCTTATGCATATTCCTCATCTGTCAATGAGAAAAACGGACCACTAGGATGCATAATTAAAAAATCTGAGCACATAATACTACCTCCTTAGCCTGTGCTGTAAAAAGCTGCGTTGTCGAACATTACCCATCTTCTTGGTGAGACTTCACCATATTTGTAAGTACTTTCATCATGACCTACAGACGAAACAAGCAAAAGAAAGCTATAAAGTTACGAAGTCTGAGAACAGAATAAAATAAGCGCATACAGATTAAAATTTTAGCATGAGCTTTTGAAAATTGCCACTGTGGCGAAGAATCATTTGTGATTGTGTAAAAGGAATCTTCCTTTCGGAGAAAATATTCTACGAATTGTTTCCTGTGTTTTATTACGTCTGATCTTTCATGTCTTAAGTAATAAGGTCTTCCAACATTGGCTGTATATTTTACTCCAAAACGACGTAAATCCAACCTACAACTTTCAATTGACCTAACTAACTTCGAATGAACCTTCTTCATAACATTTAATTCATAAAAACGACTATCAATAAACCTTGCTAAACTTTCTGCTGTAAACGAAGCTTTTGTCTTTGAACATTCTTCTATTACAGACTGTTTTGCTTCCAATTCTAAATCAGGATAACAATCCCATAATGCATCAACTCTTTTCCCATCTCTTTCTTCAGCTGTAAATTCGTCAAAATCTTTGTTGACTAAAATAGTTGACCATTTATGAGCCGATGTTGCTCTCATACCATCAATTGTTCCTAAAAATGCATCAATATCTCGCCAAGTATGACCAAAATGACGTAAAGACATGTACATCAAAACACTAATAAAATGAATGTTAACTTTTTCTTTACAAAATGAGAAAAGGTCAGCAATATCATTTAAAATAGATTTATTTGAAAAATTAATAACATCAACATCATCATCAGGTACAATAACAAATTTTTCTTCTTCACTTGACGACTTTGCTCATTCTTGACAAATACTTTCTTTCCACCAATGTCTTCTAATTAAATCACGATTATGACTTCATTGTTTTTTAACTTCTGGCATTGGAAATACGTTAAAAACTATAGATTAAAAGTAGAATATATATGATTAGTTTTTAGGATTAAACAAATAAACAACTTTGCTCGCTTCACTGATAGATTCAAAAAACCAATGTTCGTTGATAGTTAGGATCTCCATTTACATGTCGACGAATGATGGCGTTATACTTCATTCCACTTTCATAGTGAATAATGCACTTTGTATATGTCATTGGACCTCGATTTCCGAGGTGCTTATTCCCCCCCCTCAGAGATATCCAATTCCCCACGAAACCATCTCCATTAAAATTTCCATCGTTTTCAACCCATTCTAGCGTATTTCTAAAAGTTTTGAGTAAAAAATGTGCTTTTTTTTCGAAAATGCCTAGCCCGATTTTCAAATATTGCTATTTTGGGCTATTGTCGACGGATTTTCTCTACACTGGGAAGAAAAATGAAAAATCGCGATTCATTTTTTTGTTGCTCTTCAGATGGCGGTTCGAACGCCACATGAATAAAGGTTCTAGGATTTACTACAAAAAACTAGATAGGTTTACAAAACTGGGTACTTCCGTTGGCGGGACCCCTTGTAGTATGGATTTCCCGAATGGACATATAATATGTGATAAAGCTCTAGACAACATTTCTAAGCTCAATTTATATGAGAAATCTGAAAATCATATCGAAAAAAAACGAGAAATGGAATGGTAATGAACTGAGCCTTGTTTTTTCAAGAACAACGCTTTTTTGCAAATTTTAACATTTCCTCAGTATTTTGCATTTTTTTCCATGAAAATTTTGCTAAATCAAAAAATAAGAATATATTCGTGACCAGCTGAAAAAACTGAATCTAGTGATGCGTATTTGAGTTAAAAACAAAGAGTGCTCAAATTTTGCACTACTGGCAACTTACGTAAATATAAAAAGACATGCGGAAATCATTGATGTTGCGCTTAATTGTGTTTCGAAGTTCATAGTTTCAGAGTTATTTGATCGTTCTTCGTCCTGAGAGGGCAAATAAACTAGTTGATTGTGCAAATGTCGGTGTATTGCACATCATTTTTCTGGGAAAATGATCGAAGTTTTGCTGACGAAAAGTTATGAAGCGCATAAGATGAGGACACCACAGTTTTCTAGATTGATGATGCTTTCAATATATGACCTTTATAACTTCTTTTTGAGCGATATTTTGACCAATTTCCGATAAAGGAAATGCTCCAGAACACATCGAGATCTGCAGGAGCCATTGGTTTCGTTATTCAACGAGAGTGAAGAACTGTACAGAGAATCTGCTATTATCAACTTCACGAAAGCGTACGTGTGACATCTCTACGTCAGATACTTTTAGATTTTTTCTTACCTGTCATTTCTGTAATAGTACAAAATTTCATATAAAAATTTGTAGATCGACCATCAACCAACTGAGTACTGACAGAAATGTTGAATAGGTCATTTAAACTGTTTCGTAATTCTTGCCGTAACTTTAAAGTGCAAGTATCATTTTGATACGAACAGTGATCAGAAAGGAAGCCAATAATATGTAACTCAAGGATATTCCCATCCAATGGATTTTCGCACGCAATCCTACATGGGTATCAAAATAATCATCAGAAAATGGAAACAGTTAATACTCACTCGCGGTATCGTTTCGATACCGTACTACTGAGAAAAAAACCCTTCACAATTCGAATTTTATTTGCACCCAGTTTCCCGTTCAGCTATCAGCAAAAGCAAAAAGTGACAAATTAAAACTGTTGTATTGATGGCTTACTTGATTTGTGAGATCCTCGACATTTTTCATGGTTCGCGATAGATCTTTCTTTTCCATAATATGACTTGTACTAAACTTTGCTTTGAATGCCGTCTCATGGATATCTAAATATTTTCCAGATAGAAACAGAAGTCACTCGAAGTCGCGATTCACCTTCGTTTTTTTTTTTTGTAGTAAGCGCCGTCTGCTTTCGTGATATCAAGTACCATATGAGAAAAATTGTCAAGAGAGTGAGAAGAACAACAGCCAAACAGCAAAGCGCAACACGAACAAAATAGAATCGACACCTACATCCGTCCACACAAATAGAATTCTACTACCTACTATCAACACCTTACTTACGATCGTTTTTCTGATGGCCTTTTTCTTGAACCTGTCAATGGAGCTTCCACGTCATCATCATTGCTCGCTACAGTCCTTTCAGGATCTCCCCTTACTAGCTTTTCAATCGCAGATGGCACTCGCGACGACGCTCCAGATGGCATTAAACGCATCGGTACGAGCTCTATCGGTGGTGTCGCTCTCTTCTTTAAATCTGGTTCGCGCACTCCCTGTGCTGCTTCTACTCCAGATATTACAGCATTTTCGTCACCACTTGAGGCTTGCATTGCAACGCTTGATCCTGCTTGCTCTTCAGATATCATTGCTGTTGCCTGACTCTCGTAGGCTTGCTCTGCTCCACTTGTTGCTGCTTCTACGCCAGATATCACTACCTTTCCGTCACTTCCTGAAGATTGCCATTCTCTGTTTGATGCTGCTTCCATGCTAAACGTTGCTGTGTTTGTCGTCGCCGCTGTGATCGGCACTGCCACTCCTGATATTATTGCTACCGCTGCTCTGGTTGTTGCCATTTTTTCCGTATCATTCCCTGTTGTTTGTGATGTCTCGGTGGCTACCTTGGCCTCTCCGACTGTTGTTGTCTTACCTGCTTTGACTTTCGATTGGTCGGATTTTGGCACTTCCTCTGTCTCACTTTCGCTGGTTTCGCATGTCTCGCTGTGTTTTTCTGCCAATTGCTTGCTATGTGCTGCTTCCCATGTTTCACTCTGTGCTGCTTTCCACATGTTTGTCGGTGTTGCTTCATGTGTCGTGGTCGTAAGGAAGCATCCCGCAGAATCTGAAAGGTAAAGAAATGTTATGCATTATGAAACTAAATGAACTGATGTTGCAATTATTTTTCGACGCGTCAAAAACATTTGTAGGTATGGTCTGTCTAAGGTTTAACGACTTCAGAGATGTTATTTTAATGTGATGTGCTTAACCTCTGTATAGTTTCGTAACGTATGTTGGAAATGTCTTACTTTCGGAATTGAATTTCTGTTTCACTAAGGAGTCAGACGAAGACATGAAATCGTGTAAGTATTATTGATGACAGTTAATGAATAAGATCCTAGTTAGGCATATAATTAAAGTTCAACATAGTCGCTGACAATTATCAATTGAATGTCTCCTTGAACTGTCTTTTGTGGTAAATTCACTGAGTTTGAATTAAAACACGATTTGGTGAATGATACATCGTCTGATAGCTGAACAATTCAATTTTTCGCACAGATACTAGTGAATTTTGTGCAGAACGTAAAATACCTTGGCAAGGTTTCGAGGATTATTGTGCCGAACTCTGCGTCTTCAAGAGCGTTCGGTGGTGTTCGGGTACTCCTGAAGATTAACATTTTACTAGAAGACTAATTTACAGTTTGTCTTTTAATTCTAATCGAAGAAAGTTTTTTCGTGACACTAGAAAAACAGGCCAACCATACGGAAAACGCCACATACATACATAGCAATTTATGACTGTTTGATCGCATAGTTAGCCATCTGCAAGTGTACTGGAAGGGCAAAAAACAATATAATTTATAAGTATAAATTCTTTTACTAACATTGTCGACAATTTTTCTTGCAGGTCACTTTAGGAGATTGATCCAACATAATTCATAGAACTTGATATACTGCAAGAGTCGGACTCTTCTAATGTAGATCCCAGGCTGATTCAAAAAATGCACCTTCAATAAGAGTTCTCCGTCTTTGAGAAACAGCGGACAGAAACCATGAACAGGAATGCTTTCACAAGCAGAAAAACGCTTCTGGTATAGTATCACAATAATTTATATTCAACAATAGCTTAGTTTTTAGTTTCTTTAACAAAGTTTGTTATACAACAAACTATCAATGAAAGGAGCAAACATGAATATTAAGTGGCTTTGACAGCTAGCTAGTATCACTTCAGCCAAAGAAAGCTCTCTTTTAGGGCCTAGCAACAGCAGTTATTTCTACAAAGCTA